TGGATTTACAGGATCAAAGAAGAGCACGATAGGAGCAAACGCTACAAAGCGAGATTGGTTGTCAAATGTTTTCAGCAAAAAGAAGGTATTAACTACAATGAAATTTTCTCTCCAGTCGTGAAACTGTCTACAATCAGACTGGTGTTGAAAATTGTAGCTACAGAGAATTTACATCTTGAGCAGTTAGATGTAAAAACAGCTTTCCTTCATGGTGATTTGGAGGAAGAAATATATATGAGGCAGCCAGAAGGCTTCATAGAGGTAGACAAGAAAAACCTGGTATGCAGGTTGAAGAAGAGCTTGTATGGTTTAAAACAAGCTCCTAGACAGTGGTACAAGAAGTTCGATAGTTTCATGAGTAGCAGTGGTTTTACCATATGCCAAGCAGATCATTGTTGCTACATCAAGAGGTTCGACAATAGCTTCATTATTTTATTGTTGTACGTTGATGACATACTCGTTGCAGGCTCAGACATGCAAGAGATTATAAATTTGAAGCAAAAATTGTCAAAGCAGTTTGCTATGAAGGATATGGGCGCTGCAAAGCAGATTCTTGGGATGAGGATCAAGAGAGACACAAAGTCAGGGACTTTGATATTATCACAGGCTGAGTACATCAACAAAGTACTCTCCAGGTTCAACATGCAAGATGCTAAACCAGTAAGTAAACCTTTAGGTGTTCATTTCAGACTCTCCAAAGAACAGTCACCAAAGACGGAGGAAGAACGTGCACACATGGTGAAGGTGTCGTACGTCTCAGCGATTGGAAGTCTGATGTATGCCATGGTTTGTACCAGACCAGATATTGCTCAAGCAGTGGGAGCTGTTAGCAGGTACATGAATAATCCGGGCAAGGTACACTGGGAAGCAGTCAAATGGATCCTCAGATATCTGCGGGATACCACAAACAAAGCACTTTGTTTCAAAGGTAGAGATACGATACTGACAGGCTATGTAGATACTGACTTAGCCGGAAATGTTGACATCAGAAGGAGCACTACAGGGTATGTCTATACTCTAGGAGGAACCGCAGTGAGTTGGGTTTCTCAACTACAAAAGATAGTTGCTCTCTCCACAATTGAAGCAGAATATGTCGCTGTTACGGAAGCTAGCAAGGAGATGGTTTGGCTCCAAAGTTTCTTGGAAGAGTTAGGCAAGAAACAAGAAAACAATGTCTTGTATTGCGACAGTCAAAGTGCTATACATCTAGCAAAGAATCCGTCTTTTCATTTCAGGACAAAGCACATACAATTACGATATCATTTTATCCGGTCTCTTCTGGAAGATGAGATTTTGAAACTTGAAAAGATCAGTGGAGCTCAAAATCCGACAGATATGTTGACAAAGACGGTGACTATAGACAAACTGAAGTTGTGTTCAACTTCAATTGGCATGCTAGAGTAACAAGACTAGAAAAGCTGTTGCATAGATCGAGGTGTGAAGACAGATTAAAATCAGTCTTCAAGTGGGAGATTGTTGAAAGTATTAAAATGGTTTTCAAGTTTGGTAAATGTTTCTTTGAAAAATAGTTTTTCAAAGTTTGGTAGATGTTTGTTGAAAAATGATAATGGGATAATCACAATTAATCCCTAGGTTTTAGGGTATTTACAAGATTAAGTCCTTAAGTTTCAACTATAAATACCCTAGCTCATTTAGCTTCAAAACCATCCAAAAAATCATTTCTTTCTCCCAATACTAGAGAGCTTTCTTGTGAGTAGTGAGTGTTTTGTAAACACCTGTAAATTTTCTCTCTTAGTAAAAGATCTGCAGCAGTCCGGAGACGTAAGAACAATTGGCTGAACTCCGTTATCAATTTCGGGTATTATTTTTCCGCTTTTATTTCGCATTCTCACTAATCTGGTAATAGGGAAATTACTTGTACTTGGTTTATTTCCTAACACGGAGCTGTTCATCCCTTGACTCGCTACACCATGAATTACGTCAAGTATGCATGTGACGAGTACAAGCAAAACATAGAGCAAGTTTTCAAGGACCATTCCAAATCCAAATCCGAAAGACCAACCACCAGGCCATCGAATCACGACGGCGGTGACACCGAGAAAGACAAGGAAGAAGACGATCAATCACCATTCGTAGGACAAGTATTGAGAATCCTTGAACTATTGGATTCAGCTCTCGAATCAAAGTCCAAGCTTTACAAAGAAAAGGCCTTGACCTGCATTTTCCTGATGAACAACGGGAGTTACATGTTACAGAAGATCAAAGCCTCGATAGAGCTCCACCAAGCAATGAGAGACACATGGTGCCGTAAAACATCGTCGGAGCTCCAAAACTACCACAACACGTACAAGAGAGAGACATGGATGAAGCTCTTGGGTTGTTTAAACGTGGAAGGGTTGAACGTGAACGGAAAAGTGGTGAAACCGGTACTGAAAGAGAGGTTCAAGAGCTTCAACGCCATGTTCGATGAGATGCACAAGACTCAAAGCTCGTGGGTGGTGAACGATAAGCAGTTGTAATCGGAGCTTAGGGTTTCGATATCATCGATAGTGATTCCGGCTTACCGATCGTTCTTGGCAAGGTTTTCTGTGTACTTGGATTCCAGAAGACAAACGGAGAAGTACATAAAGTTTCAGCATGATGACATAGAGGCTTGCATTGAGGAATTGTTCGATGGAAACTCTGGTTTAATGGCGAGGATGAAGATATAATGAAGGAATGGAATTATGGGTTTACAAGCTTCTAAAGTCTAATCTACTTGTGATTCATTCTTGCATTTTGTTTTGTACGAAGAACATTTGTGATTTTTGTGGTCAAAGATTGGTTTACATTATTGCATTCGTAGTTTTATTTTGGTAGATGTAGTGGTTTAATGTTTGATTCTAGGATTAGATTATATCGTATCACAATCAATAATTTAACTTTTAACTCAAAATATCATCATTTATTTACAGAAAAAGACGAGTTTGAAACATAATAAATTGTTAGGTGACTATTTTGTAACTTTTAATAGTCAAGAGATTCAACAAAACAACACTCTATAGTGAGATGATCATTTCTTTCTTGTAACTTTTAATAGTCGAGGGACTTGATAAAACATATCTTATAGTCGGATATCATTTATATACTTTACCGTAACTTTTTTTTTCGTCCGTTTAATCATTTAATTTTGAGGTTAAATATCATATCATATATTATATGTTTACAGTTATTTATATTTAAAATGCTTTAGAAAGAATTATATTAAATCAATTAGGGATTGAATTATATCATACTCAATAATGTTTCAAATTTAGGAACTATATTAAAATTTAGCTTATGGTTTGAGGATGTTTACTTCAAATTAACAGAAAAAACGATCCCTCGATGAAAGGGTAATTGGGGGATTTACAAAACGTGATATATTTTAGGACAAATTATATTATTAGTCACCAAATTATAATATTTTTCATTGTAACAATGTTATATATATATTTTTTCCATTTCAATCAATAACATGTCACCACCTCTATTTCGGGAAAAATTAGTAGATGGACTCGACTCATCACGTCATCCTGGTCCCAACCAATAAGATTCATCCATCTCATTTTTTCCAAGGTGAATATTAACCTATTTCATACATGTCAACAAGGTGACCTGATGAATTGGATCCATCTAATAATTTCTCATGTTTCATAGTCCTAGATACAATTATTTCCGATAACGTTATGATTTAATTTTAATTGACCAATAAGGTGATTACACAATTCAATCTAAATATTAATTTTGATAAAAACATAACAATTGTAGTATGATTTAGTAGTTAAATGTTAGATCATTCTACAAAAATCTTAAGGTTGATCTTATTCTTTTCTGGCTTCTATTGTTTTTAGAGTATTTCAGTCTCTAATGTCTTGTTTTAGAATAAAATGATATTAATATTTAATTAAATAGTCACTTTCACCTTTATTCTTTTATTCTGGAGTATTTTGACCTTCTAATGTTTTATTTTACGTAAAAAGTCTTTATTTTAGAGCGTTAATCATTTGTTAATGAATGGTTTTAATCCATGGAAGGGCATAATGAAACGTTGGGGCCAAAATATTAAAAAAGAATGGAGACCAGAATAATTATTTTAATAAACTTTGAGGGTTAATTTTAATATTATGCCAAAGTATTTTAAGAGAGAGAGGAGGCATATCAAGAATAGTAAATCATAAGGGACGTTTAGAAGGGAGAACGTGAGATTCCATAGGAATGAAATTTATATTTCCTCGTTTGGTTAGTCGGGAATCTCATTTCTGGTAATGTAAGATTATCAATAGTGAGTTTTTTGGGGTATATTATCGGGAATGTCATTACCTCCCTTTCCTTATGTATTGTTGGATTATCGACGTTTTGGACTAAAATGCCTTTAATTTTTTTTCAAAAATATCCTTATTCTGTCATTGAATAATAAAAATTCTATGAAGGTTAAATTAAAAATTTATCTTTAAACTATCTTAGATTTATAAAAAAAATCTATAATTAAAATTTTATACGAAGTTCAGGAGTTAAAATAAAAATTTATCCTTTCATTAAACTTTTTTATATTTTCAATTTTGTAAAAAAATTATATAAATTTTATGAATTTAAATTTTTTAAAGAAAATATATAAATATTTTTCAACTTATTAAAAAAACAAATATATAATAAGGACAATTTAATCAAATATGCACTCCAATAATCTTTTATTCCTTTAACCAAACACGGTAATCTTACATTTCTGCTAAACCAACCAAACACAAAATACAACATTCTCAATAATCTTATTCTTTAATAATCTTACATTTCCACTGATAATCTTACATTCATTGGGTCATGTGTCGTGGAATAAGCGTGGATCACGTCTCTCACAAAATGGTTATATCTGAAGACGGATGAAGAGGTTTCATCAACTAGTGGAAAAATATGTGAAAAATCGAAAAAATAGAAAAATGTCATGGGCTGATTACGTAATTTACCCTATACTTTAAATAGAGCGTAAGTCTGAATCCCCAAGCCTGCACTGCAATCATCACTTATCGTCTCCTCAAAGGCCAAAGCTAAGCACATAAACCCTAATCCCAACCCCTCTCCATGAACGCAGCTATCCACCGACTTGTTTGATTATCGCCTTTGCCTTTTACTGGTTCGGTCTCTCTTTTTATTCTCATCCATTTTCTTTTTATTTTTTGCCGCCGTTAATTTTATCTTTTGATTGTTTCATAACTAATTCTTGCTTTAAGTTCGTTTGCATTTTTTAAGCATAATAGTTTATTATGTAGCTTAAGTACTTAAGTTTAAGTTCCCAATTTTGTTTTTTGCTCTGATAAGTAGTACAAAGATAAATTTTAAATAATTCCAAGGAAGAAAAGGAGTAAGTTTTGATTAATTTCAGGAATAGGGACCTTTGATTAATTTGTATTGGGGCGTGAAATTTGATATGGTTTATGCTTTCTTAGTCTTAAGTTTTATAATTTATCCAGTTAAGTGTGAATAACTGTTGTTCACTTGTCCTTTATCTTACAGCAGCTCGGATTCAATCATTCGAAAGGTTGCATTTTGAAGGTCTGCCCTGTTTGTTATTGTCTGTCAGCCATTGATTGCAACAATGGGCAGTTCATTTAATCCCCAAATCTTGGTAGAAAAGCTAGCCAAGCTCAATAATTCCCAAGCAAGCATAGAGAGTATCCTTTCTAAAAATGATTGTGTACTACATGCTTCTTTTCTTATTTATGTCAGTTCTTTTTTGGCTGGTTTTGCTTTCATTATGGGAGGTCTTTTCGCTGCATTGTCATGCGATGTAGTTGAGCATATACTTGTTTTATTACTTCTCAAGCATAAGTTACTGCTGATGCCTGTATGATAGCGCTATCTAGTTGCAATGTAAGTTACAACAAATGAACTATTAAAGTTTATTTTTGCACCCTTAACTCGGTAAGCTTTATCACATTGGTGCATTTTCCATATGAATAAGGCAAAACAGGTTGTTGAAACTTGGGACAGACAGTTTCGTTGCTCTCCACGAGAGCAGAGATTGGCCTTCCTGTATCTTGCCAATGACATTTTGCAGAATAGCAGGCGCAAGGGTTCGGAATTTGTCGGTGAGTTTTGGAAGGTCCTTCCTGATGCTCTTCGTGATGTGATTGAAAGTGGGGATGAGTTTGGAAGGAATGCTGCATTGCGTCTGGTATAGTCACCTTAACTTTCATACAGGTCTTGCTTTTGTACGATCTCATTCCAATCTCCGTGATGGGTTGAATGTGTATCACAGCCACTCTAGTTCTATTTTTATTACTTGAATTTTTCTAGATCTAGTTAACTGGCTTGGTGTTTGGCATGCCTGATTTGTGACAAATGAATTGCTGTTAATGGCACAGTATTTGGACAATGCCCGTTATTCTATTTTCATTTTATTGCTGCATTGTGGTCTGTTATATTCTTTTCTTTCAAAAAACATATGTTTGCTTTAAATCTGTACTGTCATACTGTCTCAGAATGGTTGCGCTGAAGATTAGCATGACATATTACTCTTCTTGTTGCTGTTTGAAATGCAGATCAGTATATGGGAAGAGAGGAAAGTATTTGGTTCTCGAGGACAAATTCTTAAGGAAGAGCTTTTTGGCGGACCATCAGAAAGTAATAATAGAAATGAGAGGCACATAAGCCTCAAGCTGGTGAGATAAATTCCATTCCGACTGCATTTTTTTATGCATTTATATGTTTGTGCCATGGCCTAATGTTGTTTCTTCTTTATATCTGTGCTAGCAGAAACAGCCTGTTGTAAATGCAGTGGACAAAATAGTTTCAGGCTATAATGCTCTTTACGGTAGTCAGATGGATGAAGATGTTATATTCAGCAAATGTAGGAATGCGATTAATTGTATCGAGAAAGTAGATAAGGAAATTAGTACCGATGTCGATTCAGGTATGACCTGCATTGCTCAATGTTGTTAGCATAGCTGCTCCATAAAAAACTTGCTTTTTGATCAACATTTGGAACATCTCAAGACTTGATTATGAAATACAAATTAGGATGCTTCCCCCCACCCCCCTTTAAAATGTCCAATTTCTTTGAACAGGGAAGTTCCGTGGATCGGCACGTGTGGAGGAGGTGCAAAGTCAGTATGCTGTATTGGGAGACTGTATCGAGCAACTAACGGCTGTTGCATCATCAAGAGTTAGCCTTGTCTCGCATTTGAGAGAGGCTCTTCGGGAGCAGGTTACTTAGACTAACCCCTTTAGAGTAACATTGTGGTAATGTTAAACATAATGCTGATTTACTTTTGCTGTCAGGAATTCAAGCTGGAGCAAGTTCGTTCTCAGCTTCAGGTTTGACACTACTAATCTGATCTTTTTAAGTATAATTGTCGAAATTATGAAGTATTCGCTTCTATATCTCCACTTCAGTTAACATTATTGCAACTTGAATATGTTACGTTTAACAGGCTGCACAGTTCCGATCGGAACAAGCGGGTAATATCTGCAGACAGTTATTAAATTGTGACAATCCCGAGTTAGTATGCGAGCAAAGTTCAAAGGAATCTCACACGTCCATTGCACCTCAAAGTTTTATTCCGGCATCTACGGAACAATCAGCTCCTGTTATGTATGCCTGGCAAGTATCTTTTCCCGATAATTCTGGCCACATCGAGGAAGATCCTAGGAAATCTGCAGCAGCTGCAGTGGCAGCAAAGCTAACTGCTTCAACATCCTCGGCCGAGATGCTTTCTTATGTCCTCTCTTCCCTCGCTTCTGAGGGTGTCATTAGAAATCCCATGAAAGAATCTTCTGGTGATTGCCCTTCCGAGAAGAGGCCTAAGCTCGTGGACGATGAGCCATACATGCCATCTCAGAATGCTGTCGTCACCACCCAGCAGTTAACTCCAAACGAAGTGCCGCCAACACCTCCTCCATCATCATCTCCCCCACCTTTGCCACTGCTGCCGGCGATGGCACCATATGCTGTGTCCCAGTACATGCCACCTGCAGGATCGGTAAACGGTGCAGCATATAACTATGGGATGGCCCCATCACACCAGCCTTCCTTGCCCGGTTATTCAACGGCTGGGGGCGTGATGACCGGCATCTCCCCATTTCCGACGTCATTAACTAACAATTCTTTCCAGAGTTTCCAAGGCTCTGAAGGTTTTTACAACCAACCGTCATCTGTGCCGACGGCGTCGGATTCTCTGCAATAGAACTTCAACGAAACATTGTTGTTTAGAAACCCTGTTTGGGTGCCACGGCCACGTACTATAACATCATGTGCACATTGTAAATGTATTATTATTTGGAAAACTCTCAAACTTGTCATTTTATATAATCATTGATATATAAAGAGAATGCATCATTTAGATTATTGAAATACTTTTTAGTATATTAAGTCAAATTACGATTTTGGTCTCAAATTAGATATCTATTTTACATGGTTTTAATCTTGGCGTTTCTAGCACGAATCAAGTGATCTCAGTGGTAAAAAAATTATTGTTATTTTTTGAGATTTCAAGTTTAAGGTTTAGAAATATTAAAAATGATTTTAATGTTAAATGATTAAAAATGATATTTGAACGCCCGTAGACACACTATACTTAATTGAGTCCCTCAACACTCTGTTTACAATGTTCCAAATGCACACCCATCATGGTTAAATTATATAATTAGTCCCTGCGCTATGTGTATAGGTTGCTTATTTAATTTTTATACTATAATTCAGTTAATTTTAATATTCTCTAATTTTTAATCTGTCTCGTTATATTAAGACTGGAAAGTTGACTCTTAAGCAATCAAAATTATATGGTGCATAACAAATCTAGCACTTTTTTGATGAATAAGCATCTCTGGGTTTATTAATTTGTAAGATGTGTGGATTTGTGAGGACCAAATGTGAGATTCACAAAAGAAACAAATCATAACACAACAAGTTATAAGGAAAAATGGAGCCCAACTTTATTCAAGATGAATTAACCATTTGGAAGAAGAAGATATTGTAATTACAGATAACAAGTTAAAATACCTGGAAAAGAAAAAAAGAAACATTCATGTGATGTGAAACATAAAAGGCTGCGGTTGTGGTCGCGTTTTCGATTGCGGATATAATGAGCGCTATTGCAGTAATCGCGAGTATCATTGTCATACAATATGACACCGCTACCTAACGGGTGCTATTGCAATAGCGGAATGCTATTTAAATCCGGGATTCAACATTGCCAAGCAGAAGCAGCAAGAATCGCTCTATCTTGCCACCCCAAGAGCAAGCAGCCTTTATCTTCAGTGAGTCGATAACCATCACAAGAATACAAACCCAGCAAGATCTTGGACTGAGTCACTGCATTTGCACTTAAGGGCACCCCTTGGAACCCTTTTCCTTCCATTAATTTCCTCCATTTCTCCAGCCTCTCGTGCCTTTCTATCCTCTCACTCCCTTCACAAGCCACTATGTTCCTTATCTCCGGCGCAAATATATACTGCTCTACTTTGGCTCTCTGGGCGGAATCCGGTGGGAAAGTGGCGTCCAATGAGTCGAATATGGCTGAATAATAGTGCAGGGCCTCCAGGAAACGGCCTAAGAAGTAAGGTCCGTTATGGCTTGCTTCTTGTTCGACGAGAGTTACTATGTTAGGCGCTTGGTTACGGATCATTGCCAGTAGGTTCCCGAGGGAGCTCCCAGGGACTCGGTGGAGCGTGTTAACCGCGTTCACCGCGAGAGCCTCGCCGACTCTCCGGTTGAACATATGGGGATTTATGTCTTCGAGTTTCTCCCCGATTGGGTGGAACTCGAACGGGATGTGGAGTGAGTGAGCTAGTTCAGTCAAGCATCGTCCCGTCTCTTTAATCGCTTCCATAGACGGTCCAACTCCAGTTATCCTTAGAAACGGAGCTCCGCTCGGTCGAGCAGCCAAGGCTTGCATGAAAGCCGGCCACTGATAGCCTTGGAGGATATCTAAGTCGATCACATGAACACGTTCTTCGGCTTCGAAGGCCTCAAAGATGGCTTGATTAGCAGTGAAATGTGCAAACTTTACATATGGACATGCTTGGTAAACGATTTGGTAAATCTTGAGAACTTCCAAGGAGTTTGATGGGAAAGGAGGGTACGGTTTCGGAGCACCGGAGGTGCTCAGATTGGTGGTTATGATGGCGGCGAGCCGTGCGCTTAGGGCTTCGGTGAAGCAAGAGGCAACCCTTTGCATGGAGTCCCCTAGTGGAGTTACCACTCGGTTGAGGTGATGTATATATTTTCTTGCTAACAAGTAATCCTCTTTGGCTACTGCTTCAGCACATGCAAGCAGCAGGTGAACCAATTGAAGTCCACTATCTTGCTCCTATAGTGCAAAATTCGAATGGAAGATCGAATTATAAAAGTTGAATTGTGTCGAATAATCGATGATTAAACGAGAGGGAAAAGAATAGCAAGGGATCAAAGTACCTGCTCAGGGCCAACAGGGATGGGAACCATCAAGGTATGGCCAAGGCTCTGCTGCTGCTGTTGCTCAGTTGATATCTGCTTCTCTTGTTGCAGTTGTTGGGATAATGGTGCCCTTGAGACCTGATAGTGTTGCTCCTGGTCCAACCGAGACGACGTCGTTTCGCTCACCGACCCACAAAACGTCGAGGAATTCACCATGGAGATGCAGTCCAACATCGATGGAACAGTAGTCGGCATTTCGAACATGTTATTCGAAGTTCCGATACCCGAAATCCTGCTTGTTGGATACTGATCATCATAACCATCCTTTCGATAATCATCCAAGAATTCTTCAATGGCAGGCAGTGAAAGGCTCTCAACCTGCATGAACTGATCGTTAGACGAGTTGAACACTCTATGCAATGGGCTCTGCCCTTTCCCCTTGCTGCTGCTGCTGCTATATGACCCGAACTGAGACGAAAACCGAGGCGGTGAACACCCTAACATACTCTGCCCTTGCATTCCCATAACACCGTTGAAGTTGTAGTTCGACACTTGTGGGGACGGCAAGTTCCTCACCGGAGACGACACCATGAAATCGGAATCGAAATGATCGGAGAAAAACGTTTCCCATAGGGAACTATCCGGTGACTGAACCTCGACATCGCCGTCCAACTCGAATTTGACAGCAGAGAAGTTGAGGCTTGGTGGGGTTAAGCTGGTCTGCTCCATTTCAGAAGACGGACCATTTTTCTTTGACTCGGCTATTGACTCACATGAGTTTTCACTCTTGATGGAGCCCATGCTACAACAAAGAGAATTAAGCATGCTTTATGTTACTTGTTGATCAAGTATCCCAAAAATTTCTGTTTTGATCACAAAATTGATGTGGTTTTAGCAGTTAAAGGGTGTTGTTAAATGGAATGAGAAATAGCTTTTCTCTCTTCTTTTTCAAACAGGGATTTGTCTCATTGTGGGATGGACTCGAGACAAATTGCTGAGCTGAATTCATGTGGTTGGAGGTTTTTGATCAAATCAAGTTTGGCAGGTTTTTCTAGGGGACTAATTTGTCATTTAGGATTATTTCACTTGGGGTGAGCATTCGATCAAGTCGAGTAAATATTTTCTGAGGTTTTTGAGTTGACGAGTCCTATTTTATAACTAGGAATGGGAAAGGGTTAGGTTTCTGGTCAACCTGACCTGACCCGATCCGAAAATTATACACCCTCCACGTGACCGAAACCCGACCCTCCCTTTAAAGATAAAACCCAAACCGGACCTGATGCGACTCGAAATAATATATTTATAAAAGAATATTATTTTTATTTAATAAAAAATAGAGATTTTGTTGAAAAAAATAATATATAAATGGGTTTTATTGCAATTATCTCTAAATATATAAGATAAAATTATTTTTTTTGGTCAGATATTTTTCACCATAGACCCGAACCCGACCTGAATATAATCTCTAAAAAACCTGACCGACCTAAATCCAATTTTTTTAATAAAAAATCCGAACAAATAAGATTGGGTAACGTCGAAACACATCGAGTTTGAGTCCCGTGCCCATCTCTATTTATATCTCAAAATTGATTTGAATTTTTTTTTTGAGTCGAATCGAATTTTTGAGTTTCTGTTTAAATTTAATTATAAATATTTATAATATTATGATATATATTTCTTCTTAATTTTTCCAAATGTGATATACATATATCATACAGAATCGAATGACTTGACTCAAACTTGAAAATCATTTAACTAATTACTAAATTTTGAGTTATTGAAGTTGTATTTTACAATTTGATTTGAACTTGAAAATTTTTTTAGTCGAGTTTATAAAATTACAACTCGAAGTCAATTTAAACCGAGTAAAAAAAATCAGTTTTTTGAATCAATTGAGTTTTGCTCACCTCTAATTTCACTCAATGAATTGTTACCGAAAAATAATGAGGTGAAGCAACTTTTAACCCCTTGAACTTGGTCCATAAACCTTTTTAGGTCCAACTTAGTCCCAAAACTTAGATTTTTGGTTGACCAAACGAACTAAAAATAAAAAAAATTGCGAAGTTCAAGGACCGATGTGGATGAAAAAAATTTAGGAAACAAGTTGGGAAAAGCTGCCAAGTTGAGGGACTCAAAGTTGCTTTATCCCAAGAACAACTGAACCCTTTCTTAGTGTACATGATTTAGGGTCAAACTATAATTTTGGTCCCTCCATTATGCTTAAATTTATAATTTAGCTAATATACTTTAATTTGGCGTAATTTGGTCCATCTATTCTTATAATGTCACCAAGTAATCTCAAATAATTAGAACCCTTCCAAATCATCTTTCTTAGATGATTTTTTGTGTGTTGGAAGGTTGATTTTAAGTAAGAACAGTTGCAATATTTTATGTAAGGAGTTATGAACTAGAAATTTAGGGGGGCGTGAAATTACAAAATTTCAAAGAGTACAAAATTAAATAATCAATAAAAATGCAAAAAAAAAAATATATATATATATATATATATATATATATATATAGTATACATAAATTTAAAATTTTTAGGAGTGGGACTGTACCCAGCACCCCTCGGCCCATTCTTGTTTTTAAGAACAATCTACATCAACCCTTTGAATGCAATAGTTAATAGGTAGATGACTGAATCATGTGAATTAAAGTACAAGGACTATATATCAAATTTTAACATAGTAGAGGGACCAAAATAACAATGTGACTGTAATTAGAATTAGTAGAGCTGGAGTGAGTGTGTGAATTTGAAACTGGAAACAAAACATGCCTGGAACGATGACAAATTTTTATTTGCTTGAAAAGGACTTGAAACAATGCAAGTCTTGTGAAAAGGACTGCAAAATTAGCAAAATGACAAATTGGGACGCATAAATTCTTTTTAACTTTTA